TAGTTGGACACATTGGCTGTGGTTTCCTTAAAAGACAACCCAGTGATGACTCCTTGACCCCACCAGGGCTCTCTGACTATGTTGTCAGTGACTCATCCACTTCTAGGGGAAGGGAGGTATAATTAGTCCTTCCATCACTTAAGGGAAACAGCTACTAAGAGACAAAAGTAGCATATGCTAGTTATGCAGCTCTGAAATCCTGATTTCTTTGTAGTAATTATTCTTTATTCTTGGCTTTGAACCTAGGCCCTGCCTTGGCCCAAGAGCAGTCTTCTTGCTTAGCTCCTGTGCCATACAATCTTCTCCAGTGGGTAGGCAGCAAAGACCCAGTAGTGGGGGCTAGGAGATTTTTCCCTACAGACCATATTGGTCTGATGTAAGTAGAGGAGTGAGGACAGCAGGCTCAAGTCCTGGTTGCTGAATTAAATTTCTCAGAGGTGTGATCCTTTGTGCCAACCTATGTGTCCAGTCCCTAGGCACTTGGCTCCCTACCCTAGCAGTACCTTGGGGAATTGTACTCTAGTTAGAGATATCAATGCCTATAGAATGTTGAATTTCAAGAGAGATCCAGACCTCCAAGAAATGAATAGTGCTGAAACAAAGGTTGGCCAGGCCACCTGTCAGCTGGAGGTGGGAAGGAATATTCAGTTGTCAGTGATTTTTTTTTTCCTGTATTTAGGACAGGGTCTACAGAGTCTCACTACATAGATTGGACTCATAGTGATTCTCCTGTTTTCAGCCTTCCAAGTGCTGGGATTACAGGCATATACCACCATACCCAATCTCAATTGCTGTCTCAGCATGCCCCATGGGCAGGGCTGGCACAGCACACCGGGGATCGAACCCCTGCCACTGCGCTCTGCCTAAGCAGTCACTTTAGTCTGCCGAGCTATCAGGCTGGCCTCAGTTGTCACTTATGCAAGGGCTGCTGAATCTTGCCTGGTTTCTGACCAGCTTTGGGACCCTGTCTCCATCAATGCAGAATGAGAGAATTGGAGTTGGGGGAGTCTAGGTTACTTCACTGAGGGAAAAAGTCCCATGAAGGCATGTGGATTTGAAGACACTAAAATATGTATGCATGGTAATGCGTGGAAACTTATTCTAAGACCAATTTCTGTCAGAGCCCTCTAAATGGTACAGGCTTAGCATTCAGGGCCTGCACAAGTAGAATGATTCAGCTTGTCTTAAGCTTTTATTTGACCCAGCATGCCTTACATTGGGCCTAGTATACAGGGATAGAAAAGGACTGTGGGCCATCAAGACTCCTTGATTCTTGGCTTGGAGCTGAGTCTTATGGCCTCAGGCTTCTCTTCTCTCGAGGCAAGTTGGCCCCAATTTGCTCAGAACACATAGCCTCTGGAACCTGAGAAGTAGGTGCTAGAGAAGAGCCAGGATTTTGGTCTCAGCTGAGGATAAATTAGCTGAGCTGCTTGCTTTTTTTTTTTTTTTTAATTTTTATTTTCTTCTCAGAGCTGGGGATTGAACCCAGGGCCTTCAAAAGACTAAGCATTAAGTTGCCTTTTGAGATGTTTTTGTGTCCACACTTGGAGTGTGTGTGTGGTGAGTAAAAAGGCTTTGAAATGGAGCCTACCTTCTTTGACACGTTTCCTTTGATACCAGGCCACATGACTGTGTCCTAAAAGCACCTAAGAGGTATTCTTAGGGGAGTGTATGCATGAATACTAGTGGCCTGGGACTTAGAACTAGTGGGGCTTTGTGTAACTCAAATCTGGCATTAGGGTCTGATAGTGACAGCAGCTGCTAGTTCTGCAGACTTCAGTTGCCTTTAGTTTATCCTCTATGTCTTTTTCTTGAGTACTGCTTCCTTTCTCCTGGTCTACCCCTGGCTGTTGCTGGGAGCTTTTGTGTCTCCAAGAATTCTCTGTCCTGAAGCCAAGCTTCAGGCTCGTATACTGTGCCTCCAGGGCTTTCTCCTGGGTGTCTTTATGGCCCAACTTTTCTTTAGTATCTCAGCTTCTGCCTGGATCTCTTTGTTTTCCTCCAAAACCTAAACCCTCTTATCTCACTGCATCTACTTGTTTTTTTATTTTTTATTTTTGGTACTGGGACTCAAACTCAGGACTTTGTGCTTTCCAGGCAGGCATCATGCAGCTGAACTATATCCCCAGCCTGCATCTACTTTTTAGAATGCCAGTAACTTTAAGAAAACTTAGAAATCTAATTTAGCTCCCTTCATATTCAAGGGTGAAAACAGAGCCTTAGAGATGACATGAGTTGTCCAAGGTAACACAACTAGAAAATTTTCCCTTTAGCCTGTTTGACCGTGAATATTTGCTTCTGATGCCTTTAAGCAACAATTCTCCAGCCCCCAGTCCACCATTGTCAAATGTCCAGTCATATCTCCAATAGCAGTTCTGTTTTTCTGAGCCTCTTTCCTCCTTTGGCTGAGTTCTGATGGGTTCACAATATGGTTAACAGTTCACAGATTAGAGGGAAATATGGTGGGTAGATGTCTGGCACTTCTACCCTTAGAGACAACCATGCTCTGGGGCTCAGTTTTGTTCAGAGACCAATCAGCCTGCCCTTAGGGAAGGCTTCTAGGGGCCAGAGATAGGCATAGTTACAGAAACTTTTACAGGATCCTGACAGTTCAGACTCTACTTAGCTCAGGAAATCCCTCACCAGCTTCTCAATGCCAAGTATCTATCTTCCCAGAGATGTGCTGTGACCCTTCTGAGCACCTAATGCTTCTAAAGCTGCTGGGGCATCTGTCCCACAGTCTCACCTGATTTGTCGAATGGCCTGGCTAGACATTGGCCATTAAAGCCTCTCTTAGCCTTCCAGCAGATGATCCCTGTATAATTTATGCAGCAAATCCTCTTTAATCTTTAATTTGAAGTTCTGCAAAAAGGGAGCCTGCTGCTAACCTGTGTCTTTTCTCACAGGTTGAGTGGAGGTGGAGGATGTCTGAAAGTGTGGTACGGGTATGGACAATAAATAACCAGTCAGCTTCACTTCCTTAAAACCTCGTTGGAACTCTGGAGTAACTTAATGGTTTTTGTCAATGCATCCTCCCCTTATAAAGGCATCTTCTGGGAATGCAGATGGGCTCTTCCTTTCCCTTTGGGTGCTGGCTCAGGTCTCCTCAGTACAAGAGCTGAGTAAGGAAGAGCCCGGTGTCTAGAACTCCTGGGGAGGGGAAGCCAAGCCCTGCGCAGCTTGCTCTTCAGGGGGTGTTGAACACCCTCCGCAGCAGAGGTACAGGCCCCGCCCAGTGGACAGTTCGCCCCGCCCCGACCGGGATCTGGTCCCGCCCCTAGAGGTCCGCACTCTGGGAGGCGGGTGGGGGCCGGCGGTGCAGCGAGGGCAGCGCAGCGAGCAGCTCTAGCCGCGGTTGCTCGGGTGCTGTCTAGGCGGAGCCGGCCTGGCCGGGGCTGCAGCCATGGTAAGGCAGGCGGGCTCGGAGGAGGGCCGGGAGTCTCAGGGCCCCCTGTTCCTGAGTGGTTCCGAGGGAACTGCTGGGGAGGTGCTGTCCCCGGCCCCGGGTCAGGCGGGCATCACTGGTGGGTGGCGCTGCATTGCTGCTCGCAAGTTTCTCGCTCCAAGCCTAGTAGCTACTAAGCGGCAGACCCCAGGGATGCTGCCCACAATCTTGGAGGAAGGGGTGGGTCTATGTTGTGGGAGGTGCCCGCCGGCAGGGTTGTGTGCGGGGAAGGGCACGTCAGCGATGAGCCTGGTCAGGGTCTCCGCCCTTGCCCTAGTCAGCTGTTACCTGGATATTCCTCACCCATCTACTCAGGGCATAAACGCTAGTACCAACTTCCTTTGGAAAACAGAGACCCACAAACACTGCCTGTCTCTCTAAAAGGGACAGCAAGACTCTGCGTCCTTCTCACAGCCTGACAAGGGGCACTCCCTAGACTAGACCTTTCTCAAAGGAAGGAATTCCAGAGAGAGGGAGACTCCCAGCCATCCTTGTACCAGATGAGACTGCCTTTTGGCCTTAGGGACAGAACCATTGGTAAGCTTCCTTCTGCTACATCTATCCCCCCCCCAAGTCTTTCTGCGGTGTGTGGGGGTTGGGGGGGGACTCATTCCTGCCACCTGCCTGTGGTGGGAAGAGAAGCAGTAATACCAGCCAGCCTTCCTGGAGGCTCCAAGATAGGAAGTTTTGATGCTTGGCTGTGAGGATGCCAGCTTGCTGTTGTTGCCAGAGCCTACCACAAACACAGTGTATGTGTGTCAGGGCCTCCAGACCACACACTGTCCTCTCCTCCCAGTCTAGAAGCCCCCACCACCCACAGCCTGTGCCCTCTTCTTGGGAGACACAAGTTGTTTACAGCAGTAGGAAGTCGGTGGCCAGCCTTGGGGCCGGATGTTGGCTATGGGCAGCCACCAGAAGGGAGCTCCCTGGGCCCTGTGGAATCAGAAGCTTTTAAGTCTAGAAAGGCCACCCTTTTGGGTTCTTGTCTCTCAAGCTGTGTCCAGGCAAAGGCCCAAGTCTTGGCCAGGAAGTATTAGTGGCCCTATAACTCCCCAGAGGAGGATCCTGGGAGAATCCAAGTGTTGCCTGTCCTTATCCCTGTCCCCCTCCACCTCCTCCTCACGTGGGGGGTGGACAGGCTTATTGTCCCAGGGCTGGAGTCTTGGGGAAGCACTGATTATCCCTGGTGCCAAGCCCAGCAGGGATGAGAGGGGATTTTTCTGCCACACACTAAGTTCAGTTCAGCTGAGGTCTTGGTGCTTTCAGTTGGGCCCAGGCCAACCCTGTTCTTTGTTAATTAAAGACACCCCACCACCACCAGTCTCCAGCCTCAAATCCCTCCCCTCAAGCAAGCCAAGTCCTTAGGCTGACTGGTTCTTGTAGGGTAGACTCTTCTAAGAGTCTTCTTATCATAGGAGATCAGTGTCATAGCAGCTTTGAAATTTAGTAGGAGACCCTCCCTAGCCCAGGAGTTCTACGGGGTTAAATTTGCATAGGAAAAATGGCAGGTCAACATTTATTACTATCCTGTGATCTGAGGGGTACTTTCTCTAAGGTTCAAAGTAGCTTAAGGTATCTCTTTTAGAAGTGATTTCTGTCCCCAATCTCTGGGGGGAGGCAAAGAAAGGTCATTCACAGTTGGACATTAAGGTTATGAAATGAAGATACTACTCAGACTCAGCAGGGGTGTTTCTGGCCCAACCAAAAACACTGGTCTCCTCACTCCTAATAGTGTTCCATCTGGACATTTCCAGCCAGAACCCTCATTTGTCTCCCACCTAAGTGGCAGCTCTGAAGCCTCTGTAATGCTAGCCTGGTGTTACTGTGAACCCATACCCCTCAGAGAACAAGTGCCATCAGGTCCCTCATCAACTATGGAAAGCATGGGGTGATGGAATTGACCCAGGTCCCTGTGAATCTGAAGTCAGGTATTCTAGGATAGCAGGAGTTCCTGGAGGTAAGACCCCTCTGTATCTGGAGTTCCCTGCAGAGAAATCTAGGAACAAATTTCTGAGAACTGGGGGACAACAGTTTCTCCTGGGAGAAAAGGGCCATTCCCATGGAACCTATTCCAGGGATTATAGAACATGCCACTCTGCTTCAGCACTGCTTGATTATAAAGATCTGAGGGTTGGAATCTTTTGGGAATAGGTCTCCTATATGGCTGTCCCCTTGCACTGATGGGCCAGGTCACTTTGGGGGATGGTTCATATTCTTTAGGCAGGCCTCAGTGTCCTTGGGGGTTAACAGAAGAAACCAAGTGGATCAGGAGTCTGTGCTGCAGACAGACTTGGGAGGTTGGTGCTGTGCCCACTGGGTTAGGCAGAGGGCAGGCCCGTGGGGCAGCCAATCAGAGGAGGAGGGGACTGCAGAGGAACGGAGAGATCCTGCTGCAGCTGAGCTGTCCTTGGAGGGTGGGAGCCAAGGGAAGGGAAAGAAGGGGGGTGGGGAAGGACATTCCACAGGCCTTTTTGGCCTCTGCCAGAGATAGAGGGAGGTCAAAAGAAAAAGAGAAAGGAGCAAGCCAGAAGACATCAGGAACATCAAGACAAGGCTGTTTCTGTGTGTGAGGAACTTTGCTTAGGAGATAAAATTAGACCTAGAGCTTGCTGACAGGGACTCTGAAGCTTGGGGCATGGACCATTCACTGGGAAGGCAAGGCAGTTCTGTCCCTGAGGACAGGACTAAAACTGGGGTAAGGTGCTGCTCTGGGAGATGGGCGGAAATCTGTTCATAGGCCCCAGTGACCTGTCTTCTGCCTTGACTGAGATTGGGACTTAAAATCAGAAGATGATTTGGTCACTGACAGGGCTAGGGAAGTGGGAAGGATGGACAACAGACAGGAGGTATGGACCTTGTGTCTTGACTCCTTTTGCAGAGTCTATTGGCTTCCTCCATGATGATGTGCAGCCAAGAGGTACTTGGTTCTTAGTGGCTCTGCTGGAAGCTTGTGGGGAGTTAGGGATCTCCAGTAATTCTTTTCCTTTTCCTCTCCCTGCTTACCCCTCTGCTTAATGCCTGAGCAGAGCACATTTCTCTCTCTCACCCTTAGCCAACTCTCCAGACCAATTACTGGGTCACTGTGGGATTATATTGAAAAAACAGGGGGCCAGGAATACAGCTCAGCAGCATAAGTGCCAGCAGGGCAAGCATAAGGTCTGGAGTTCAATCCCCAGCACCACAAAAGGAAAAACAAAAACAGGATTTCCTGGAATTCCCAACTGCTGCTCCTCAGCCCCATCCCTGCTCTGTTGCTGTGTAATTGTCCAAGCTGGGACATTTCTAAGAGTGCAAGGGGGAACAATTAATCATTATGGAAGGTCAACAAGCATAAACTGGGTGTATGTTTACCTTACAGATCTTACATATGAAAAGGGCCTGTTAGATGAGGCCTGCCTTAGGTTAGCTTCTGGCCACCAAGCCCCCATGTGGGGGTTCCATTTGTACGCTAAATGGCCTATTCTTTTTTGTACAGGCAAGCCCTGCAGGGTATGGCTGCCCACAGGTGTGGAGTCTTGAGAGATGACAGCCTAGAAGTAGTTTTTAGGGGACTTTTCTCACCCCACCCTTCCTCATTTGGTCCTGGGATTGAACCCTAGGGTCTATCTATCCTACGTCCCTAGCTCTTTTTTTAAAAAAGCTTTTCAATGTTTATTTGTTTAGTTGGTCTTTTGAGGTAGGGTCTTGCTAGGTAGTTTAGGCTGGCCTTGAACTCATTGTGTAGCCCAGGCTGATTTTGAACTTGTTGAAGTCCTCCTGCATCAGCCTTCAAACTACTGGGATTACAGGTGTGTGCCACCATGCAAGGCTCAAAAAGTTTTCATTTTTGACATGGTCTCATTAATTTGTTAAATTGCCTAGGCTAAGCTTGAATTTGGGATTCTCCTGCCTCAGCTTCCTAGAGTGGTGGGATTACTGGTGTGCACCACCATGTCTGGCTTTTCTCCATTTCTTTCCTGAGGCATAAATCAGAAAGTGTGCATATCTGCTTATTTCATTTCTTTCTTCTATAAAATGGGGGTATGCAGGAAGACTCTGGCCATCTTATCTCACCCACTTTGGTGGGGACTCCAGCATGGTCTAGGGTAACCCCCACTGGCTCGGCTGAACCCCAGAGGGTGAGTCAGCCTCTGCAGCTAGCCCTTGTCCATTGTCTGGGGGTGGCACGTGGATGTTGTAAGGCAGAGCTGAGCCCAGCACTGCCAGGCACCCCATAAAGGACACTGCCCCCAAAGGAAAGGGGAAGCTGTAGGGTCTAGAGCTGAGGGTGAGAATAGAGGGAAATGGGTCTAATTTCTAAGCTGGGAATGGGGTGGAACAGGCTTCTACAAAGGAGCTAGTCTACTTTCTTCATACCACATCACTCCCTTGGTTGGGTCATGGATTAGATTAGATCCATTTCTGCACTGCTGACTTCAGGCAAACTAGGTAAGGGAAGAAATAAGAATCCTTCCTCTTAGATGTCACAGTTGTGAGCTGTCAGCAGCATGGGATGGGGTGGGCATTCGTTAGTCCTTCCAAGCTCTAGCAGTGCCTTCCTATCCACTTTGACTTGGTCCCACCAACTACTTGCTTTCATTCTCAGAATCTACTAGTAGGCTTGCTCTTTTCTTCTCAGGTCCAGGAGGTTCATGATTAATTATTCTGGTATGGCTCAGAGCCTGCAGTAAAAGCAGGATCAGTGGGACTGAGCTCCAGGCACCAAAACCTGGAGAATGGGCACCTGCAGTAGCAGCTGCAGTAGAATCTGCACCTGGGTCCCCAGATCATTGCCCAGCAGTGACAGAGACAGAACCCTTCAGCAGCTCCTTTACTGCCTGCCCCATTTTCACTTTCTGTACTTTGCCTTGAGTTCTGAGGCATACTCTCAGGTCTCAGGCATCTGTCTACTCCCTCTTGCAAGTCTGACTTCCTGGCCTTTGGGGTAGTCCCTGGCTCCTGTCTCAGCTAGACTCCAGGGAAGGGCAGCCTCATAGACACCATGCTGAGAGGAACTGGAACTGGAAGCATGGCTTGGGGACCTCAGACACCGGGGTCCTTGCCCATTTCTTGCCTAAGGAGGCTAGTGAGCTGGTAATGGGGGAGTATGGTGAGCACCTCCGCTGGCCTGCCTGCAGTGTCTTTCCTTTCTAACCACAAGTGCTCTCTCTCCTCACCTTGTCTTGCCTTCTGCTTTCTTCCTTGTCCTTCCCTTCTGGCTCCCTCCCTGGCACCTCCCACCTACTTCACCTCCCCCAACCCCCAGATCAAGCCTTTCCTAGAGGACACCACGGATGATGCAGAACTGAGCAAGTTCATGAAGGATTTTCCAGGAAACGAAAGCTACCACCCACCGGAGGCCAAGGCCAGGATGTCCAGGCCCCAAATCCTGGAGTCAAAGCCCCAGGCCCCTGACCTCTATGAAGATGACCTGGAGCTCAGACCCCCCTCGTGGCCCCAGTCCTCTGACAGCCAGCAGTACTTCTGCACCCCTACCCCACTCAGCCCTTCCACCCGGCCCCGCAGCCCATGGGGCAAGCTCGATCCCTATGATTCCTCTGAGGTAGAGACTCCAGCCCTGCTTTTGCCTTTCAGTGGGTGGGTGCAGGTGGACCCAGGGAGAGAGCAGAGAGAACTATGTGTGTGTATGTGTGTTTATGTGTGTGTGTATGTGTATGTGTGTGTGTGGCTAAGGCTTCTGTCTTATATTAGCTTCAGCACTGTGGTTTCTGCCTCTGAGGGCACTAGAAATTTGCAGTGTCAGATAGGAGCAAAAGGCCCAGTTGGTGGCCTCAGATGAGAACACAAGGAGTTTGATGCTTCTCTTTTAAGCCTGGGGCAAAGATATAGAGGAGAAAACAAGACGACTGGTGCTGGGGCCCCTCCTGCCTCTTACCCTGATGCTTCCATCTTCCTGTCCATTAGGATGACAAGGAGTATGTAGGCTTTGCGACTCTCCCCAACCAAGTGCATCGAAAGTCTGTGAAGAAAGGCTTTGACTTCACCCTCATGGTGGCAGGTAGAAAGGGACAGGGCTGGGTTGGGCAAGGAGAGTTGAGGGGTGTGTATGGGTGAAGGAGCCATGGGTAGCAAATGAGGAAGCAGCAGATGGCTGTGCCTGTTTTTGCAAAATAGCCAGGAGCCTTTGATGGCCAAAAATGTATACATATGGGTCAGCAGAGAGAGGTGCAAAACCAGTAGTTTTCTAGTACAGTATTTTCCATTTCTATGTAACCTTGGGTGACCTCTTGCTTTCTCTTGGCTTTGTTCAAATGAGGATGTTGGATAAGCTGATCACACTACTTCTTTCCAGCTCTGAAATGCTAAGTTTGGTTAGTCTAGTCCCAGTTGATAAGCAGTTATCACAGTCCTATAGATCTTACCTTCTGATTTGGTACCTCTGCCTTCTGTTCTGTCAGGAGAATCTGGCCTGGGTAAATCCACTCTTGTGAATAGCCTCTTTCTCACTGATCTATACCGGGACCGGAAACTCCTGAATGCTGAAGGTAAGGAACATTGAGACAGGTAGGCAGACCTGTCTTGGGAAGTTAAACTCACAAACCCAGTCATGGAGTCAGGAGCACTGGGGCCCTCCCAGCATGCTGGAAACCATAGCTTGTATTTCTCTTCATAGGCCTGTCTGGCCTGCCAGTCCACAGCCAGCTCCCTAAAGATTTGGGTGCTGAAGCAGGGAAGGGGCCAGAATGCTGGTCTCTGAATGAATCTCTGACTCCCAAAGGATTCCAGGAATCCAAGCAAAAAGCCAGGAGCAGAGAAGAGGCTGGGGCCAGAGCCAACAGCCACTGGCATTTCCTGTGTTGGGAAATGTATTCCTTGCTGGTTCCCAGGGAACAGGCCTTCAGGCAGCCTGTGGATAGGCAGCAGGGAGGGTGGGTGTGGATGAGGCAGTCTGGGCAGCAAAGCTGGCTGGGGTGGGCAGTTTGTCCTGATTGGGCAGGTCCCTGCCCTTGCCCTTGCCTCAGTTTCCCCCTTCTCCAGAGCGGATCATGCAAACTGTGGAGATCACTAAACATGCAGTGGATATAGAAGAAAAAGGTGTAAGGCTGCGGCTCACCATTGTGGACACACCAGGTTTTGGGGATGCACTCAACAACACAGAGTGGTATGTCTGACCAAGCACAACTCCAGCTGCCCCTGATGCACCCATTGCACATATACACAAGGGTGTGCATAGGCATGGACATAACCATACTTGTTAGGAGGAAGCACTTTGTCATTCCCCTTACTGCACAGCTATCTCTTTTGTAAAGTGAGAGGAAAAGGATTGGAATAGATGGTTTCTAATGTTCTTTCCAATGCTGACTGATAATTCTATAGTGAGGGTGGGAATACAAGAAAGAAAAAGTTCAGAAAGCAAATATATGTGAAAACATATAGCATAGGGCCTGACACATAGCAGTTGTTGTTCAATAAACCTCAGCCTTCCTCCTTCCTTTTTACCAGTAACATTTTAGATGCCACAAATAAGTCTTGTTAAAGGGAGGAGGGAAGAACATAGAGGGAGGAGTGAAGGGAAGAAAGAAGAGGCAAAAAGGAAAACATGGTGGAACTTAAATTCTATATACTCTGTAGGATCTCTGCCAAAAGAAAAGGTGGTTTTGCCACACATGGACATGCACATTTCCTTATCCCTCTCTTTTTACTTTTCTTTATTGTCATGAATGGGAGAAAGGTTTAGGCAATGATTAGATGAAAGTAAGTAAATGAGGGCTGGTGAGATGGCTCAGTGGTCTAAAGCACCTACTTAGAACAAGTTCAGCAAAGCACAGGGACCGCGGTTCAATCCCCCAGCACCACATGCCAGCCAGCCCCCCCCCCAAAAAAAATTAAAAAAAAAAAAAAAGTAAATGAGGATAACGGATGAAAAAGATAGGACAAAAGGTAGTGGCCACTGATGAAGTTAAGCAGGTAGGGCTCCAAACTCTGGACTGAGAGTTCAAACCTTGTTTAGTAATTGTGTGATCTTGTGCAAATGTCTACAATCCTATTTCTTCTATTTAAAAAAACAGCCATTAACACCTTACCAAATTGATTTGAAAATTACCCACAATGATGCTTGCATATTGAAAACTGTAAAAGAAGTTATTTATGTTCATGAATCTTAATAATTGCAAGGCCAGAAACATAATCTATGGGCCCCTTGTTCAAAATTGCCAAGCATCATTTCAAGATGGTAGTAGATCATGCGAATCATGGGCCCTTTTGATTGGTTCACTGATCAAGCTGACCCTGAATAATTGCCTCACAGACTAGTTAGTCCCTTACAGACCTTCCTGTGCTCTGAACCCCCATCACATGCTTTATCATTATATCATATGATTTGGAACAGCTAACTGGTTCTTCTTCAACTTCATATTCTGAGCTTTGTGGGGAGGTCCATTTCTTCATTCTCCCATAGCAGCGAGCTTGTTCATAGTATATAGTCTCATGGTCTCCACATATATACCTGGTGGGTTGAGGTGACCTCCATGTCATCCACATTGTCATCACCACCATCATCTACATTCTTCATGTTCTAGCAGTATGTCTTAACATGTGGCTTGCTTTGAAACTCTTTCAGACCATACTGATTCCTACTGTAGCAAGTCCTACTTTCTTCTTCAACCTATTTACTTTCTTTGACTCTTCATACTAATAGTAATTTTAATAAGAATCTAATTTCAATACATTTCTTAATAACAATTTTATGTCACAGTGTATGGTATACCTCCATATATACCCATTTTGTCAACCAGCAGGAATTTATGGAGCACATACTATAGGTCTAGCCTGTGTTGGACATTTTAAGTAAAACATAACAAGTATGAGTGATCCCTCTGAGAGGCATACAGTCTAGTATGGAGGGGTATTAAATGTATGTATTCATCAGGCACTATGTAAGGGAAGACTTACCTAAGAAAGCCAGAAATTCAAGTGGATGATGACTTTACTGAGCAAGTGATCTGGAACAATTGTTTTAGCTGCCCTCAGTTTAACCTTTTCATTTATAAAGAGGCACTGTAACTGAGCACAGTGACACATGCCTGCTGTACACACAGGAGGCTGAGATGGGCAGGCTGAGATGGGAAGACTGCTTGAGCCCAGGAGTTCATGTAGCCTGGGCAACGTAGAAACACCTGTCTCAGACAGTTACAAACATGTAGTAATAAAAATGAGAAAATAAAAAAGATGTTACAAGCATGAGATGTATGAGACTATTGTGGCATAACAATTTTTTTATAAGTAGAAGTCATATACTAAAATAGTTATAGAAGGTATAGTAAGTACATAAAATGGTAACGTCTGTCATCAAATACTATGTACTGTACATATTTTGTATATGCTATACTTTTATGACTGACATCACAGGTTTGTTCGTACTAGCAATACCACAAACATGCATTGGTACTATGATGTTATGACAGTAATTTTTCAGCTCCATCTTAATCTTATGGGACCACTAGTATATGGAATCCAAAGGTTGATGGAAATACTATGTGGTGAAGGACTCTGTGTGTGTGTTCACATACTGCTGTGTGCTGAAGGAGAAAGCAGTGTCTAGTGATGTGGTCGAAAGAGCCTTCCTGGAAGACCTAAATCTTGGATAGGAACTTAAAGGATAGAATAGATATGGAGAGGTGGAGGAAGGATAGGAACAAAGTCTCTGAAGCAAGGGCTCTGAAGCTAGATGGTGAACCTGACTCGGGGCTTCCCTGGCTTCTAATTGGTGTTCACCCGTAGCTGCCTTGCTATTCTTTCTTTAGTTAGGGCCCTTTTCTTCTCATCAAACTAGTATGATGCCTGTGTATTCACTGTGGTTTTCCATCAGGACATGTGAAAAATGCCCTTGTCCTAGGCATTTTATTTCCCTACAGGTGTAGTAAAGCACACCAGGGAATAACGATGTTTTAAAAACACTACAAAAGGACTCCTTTTGTGCAGTCCCAGAGTTCACTAGCCAGCCTCCACTCCCACAGCTTCTTTGCTTGTCTGTCTCTGCCCCAGCTGGAAGCCTGTGGCAGAATACATCGATCAACAGTTTGAGCAGTATTTCCGAGATGAGAGTGGCCTGAACCGCAAGAACATCCAAGACAACAGGGTGCACTGCTGCCTGTACTTCATCTCACCATTTGGCCACGGGTATGGTCCCAGTCTGAGGCTCCTGGCACTACTGGGTGCTGCCAAGGGAACAGGCCAAGAGCACCAGGGGCAGGGCTACCACTAGCAAGTGGTCACAGATTCCTGTTCTCCAGGCTCCGGCCATTGGATGTTGAATTCATGAAGGCCCTTCATCAACGGGTTAATATTGTGCCTATCTTGGCTAAGGCGGACACACTGACACGTCCTGAAGTGGACCTCAAGAAACGCAAAGTGAGGGAAGCTGGTGGGGGAGGGGAGCAGGTGGGCTTGTAGAAAGGTTGGAATTTCCAGAACTGTGGGCTCCTCATCTGTTTGCCAGATCCGGGAGGATATCGAGCACTTTGGAATCAAGATCTATCAGTTCCCAGATTGTGACTCTGATGAGGATGAGGACTTCAAATTACAGGACCAAGCCCTAAAGGTGGGGCCATTCTAGGGCATCCCCTCCCATCTGGTCTCTTCTGGGCAGAAGAGGGGAATACAATTTCATATAAGGACAAGCTTTTGGGGTGGGAGAGGACCCTGGTCTCCTAGAGTGAAGCTGAGAAGATGAAGATAAATGTGGAAAGGAACAGGTGAGAAAGAGGGGTGTAACAGGCACCCCTAACTTTTTTCAGGAAAGCATCCCATTTGCAGTCATTGGCAGTAACACTGTGGTAGAGGCCAGAGGGCGGCGAGTTCGGGGCCGACTTTACCCTTGGGGCATCGTAGAAGGTAAAGCACTGAGTTTGTGACCAGGGAGGGTACCTCTTTGCCCTTAGGGGCTTTTCCCTCCCCATGCCCCTGGCTGACCCCTAGCCTTGCTGTGCAGTGGAAAACCCAGGGCACTGCGACTTTGTGAAGCTGAGGACAATGCTGGTGCGTACCCACATGCAGGACCTTAAGGATGTGACGCGGGAGACACATTATGAAAACTACCGGGCACAGTGCATCCAGAGCATGACCCGCCTGGTGGTGAAGGAACGGAATCGCAAGTATGACCAGAAGCCAGACAAAAGCTGGCAGGGGAGACCCCAAGCACAACCTTGGGGAAGACCAAGCCCTTTCTTTGTTCTTTGCTCTTTGTTCTTCTATAGGGCCAACGCTCAGCCCAAGCTAGTGCTGGGGTTCCCCCTAGCCTTACCAACCCTCCTTTCCCCTTCCTCAGCAAACTGACTCGAGAGAGTGGTACTGACTTCCCCATACCTGCTGTCCCACCAGGGACAGATCCAGAAACTGAGAAGCTAATCCGAGAGAAAGATGAGGAGGTGAGAGCAGTAGGGTAGAGGTTGATAGCCTGGGTGGCCCTCTGATCATAAACCTCAGTATCTCTTGGTCTGGGAATAGAACAATTCCTGGTTCTGAAGCATATCTGGGATGTCAGTTTGTGATTCTGTCCAGTCTCCATCATACTTCATGACTACCAGAACCCTGACTCAAGGAATTAGAGCAGGGGGACACTCCTCCCCTAATACCAAGAGGATTCTCCAGAAGGCCCCATTTTGATGCATGTGCCTATTCTAGCTTCGGCGGATGCAGGAGATGCTACACAAAATCCAAAGACAGATGAAGGAGACCCATTAACCGGCTTATGGTCCTGGATATTTAAATCTCCTCTTCCTGTCTATGCCAGCCCCTTACTGTACCAGCTCTGCTCAGGCCCCTGCAGCTACTGCCACTTCGCCTTACATCCCTGCTGACACCCTAGAGACTCAGAGGAAATAAAGTTTAATAAATCTATAGGTGGCTTCTGGTGTCCCTGTCTATTTGTATCACCTCCTGGAGACCAACACTCTAGGACTCAGTTTGAAAGGCTAAGGTGAGATGCTGCCATTTCTGGCTTTTCATAGTTATGGGAGAGGGGAAAATGTCCCTCTCCCATGACAGGATTCAGTCCCTCCTTAGAATACAGCCTGGGTTCTCCATCTTAATGTCTATATCTATCCGGCCTGTTATTTAGGGCCTGGTTCTTTAACTTTCACGCAGTACCCTCAGTTCTGCAGAAGTTTTGATTTGATCGCAGCTCTTGGGAAAATACGAGGTGTTAACTCCATGCAGCCTAACTTCCTGTGTCCCCTGATCTGTGAAAAGGAATATGCAGAATTAAGCTGTAAACTTAATGTAGCAGCTGTAGAAAGCCTGCTATAAACAGCATTGAACAAACGATGACGGCCATACAATCATTTGTTATAGTATAACATGTGCTGGGAATGAATAAAAGCACAGTTTTTTTTTTTTGTTTTTTTTTTAAACCGGTAATAGAACTCAGGACCTTCCACTTGCGAGGCAGGCACTGTGCCACTGAGCTACATCCCCAACTCAAAAGCACAACCATTGTCCTGGGAGAGCTCAGTCCTTAAATATTAAGCTTTAGCTTGGATGCAGACATTGTTCTGGCCCCTGGGGTTAAAGTAGTGAAGCAGGCAAAGTTCTTGTGTTCCTGAAACTTACTAATTGTACAGACGTTCTGTAAACAAATATACTCCACGACATTTCAGCCCAAAAGCCTGGTATTAAATCGCTGTCCATTCTGGACCTGAGGTTAGCCCTTGTGAATCAACTGCACACTCTCCGTCAACTCCTGGGTGTCTCGGAGCCATGGTACCCTCTGGTGGCCACTTTCCGTCTCGTCGCCTGCTCTCCCGCTAGACTAGAAAGGTGCAGCTAGCTAGCTGCAGGCTAAGATCCAGGGGAGAGAGCTTTACTCAAGACTGGAAATTCAGTGCAGGTTATGAAGGACGTTCACTAATAGAAGAAAGAAAGAAAAAAAAAACCTATCAGAACAAAAAGGGACAAACTCCAGTGCGGCCGGCGGAAGGTGGAAGATCCAGACCAAGTCTTAGTCCCAGTCTACTCTTCCAGCCTCCCATTCAGATTTGGGATTGGACGATCGTAGCAAATTCCACACCCAACTGGATTAACTGAAGTGCCACTGGAGATTTATTAGAGAAACTACCTGTACCGCAGGATCGTCACCGGAAGTAGCTTCAAGGCTCTTGTCCCTACAATGACCCGCCTTCGATTGCGCCACCAAGTGGACGACGGGCTGTCTCCACTTCCGGCCCCCTTATTCGTAGCAGCAGCAGCAGCAGCCCTTTTTACTTCTCGCCTATTGGCTGCCGCAGGGACGCGCTGTGATTTCCCATTGGTTGCGTCGTCTCTCCGGTGCTGCACCGCCTTCCTACAAGTACAATCTTCTCTTGGGGCACCCGATAGGCTAAAGGCTGGGAGGGCGTCTGCCCTTTGGGCCAATGAGCGCCATAGGGAGCGAGGGCGGCGGCTGCGTGGTGGGGGCAGGGTGGGACTTAACATGGTCATTGGTCAGGGCAGACGCAGGCTAGAGATACGATTGGTTGGGGAAAGGGCACCGCGGTGGGGTTGGTGCTGCACAGCCTCAGCAGCTGCGGGAGACGGAAGTGGTGAGAGCGCTGCCTTGGAGGGTCGGGCGGACGCCGCCTGGGTGAGTCACTGTGCCCCGTGCATTGCTATCCTGGATACCCAACGACCACGTCTCGCCCGGCACCGCCCAGGCCCCCGCCGCCTTTCTTGCGTCCCGCCTTCAGTCATTTGGGGCTCCGCCTCTGAGCCTTTAGGCTCCGCCCCTAGGACCTGGGCACCTGGAATCCCCTGCCAGCCTGGCCCATCCCCCGGACTAAATTACCTAGGTCCGGAAGCCTTAGGCTTCCCAGGCCTAATCGTGTCTCTTTGCCTCCCTCCATTTCCCAGAGGCTGCGTGCCAGTGGGCGGTGAGGCTGCAGCTCTGTCGGGTTTGCGGCTTGCGGGCTCCCCCGTGAGGGAGGGTGGGCTGGGGAAAAGAGGGTACTGTAATCTGGGACGCAGGTAGGGCCACAGAAGCAGGCTTTTATTTCCTCAGCTTTTGCAGCCCTGTTTTAATGTGTTAGTGAAACCTGGGCCTGGCTCCCTAAGTGGGTCTGACGCCTCGTCCTGAAATCTATTACTAGGACCCATTGGACAGATACTGACTCTGAGGCGGGCCTGGCTGGAATTTGTCCCTGTTGTGTGGCCTTCTTTCCATAACCTCCACCTCACTTGGTGTCAAGTATGCTCAACAGGATCTGTCCAGCCCTGTTATTTTCTTATCACAAGTTGTGGTCCTCTCCCTCTTGTCCTCTGCTCTGGACTCTGCCCCCAGTAACAGGTCAGGTGGGTGCTACTCCTAGACTCAGAGATTGGCAGAGCTGTGGAGTCATGCTCCCACCAGGGCCAAATATGAGTATCCGTGGGCACTTTTGTCTCTTTAGAGCTGGCATTTCTTTTGGTCTCATGTAGTGAGCAGGATTTAGAATTTTCTACCTTCTTCCGTCCGATAGTCAGAACTCTTGAGTTCTGAATAAGCTTGGACATTCATTTCTGTTTCAGAGCTTGATGACTGACTTCATGTTCTACAGAATCACTTGTTGCTCTTTCCCTATATAGCTCCCATTGCCTCTCAGGTATGGGGACAATAAGAATTGTAGAGAAGTTTGGGGGTAGCTGTCTGCATTGTGTTGATTCTACAGTGATGTTAATGGTATTCTTTCCTCTCACGTTTTTTGATCTCTTGCAGTGGCAAGCCAACAGCCAGGATCCTCACCACAGTAGAATGGTGAGTACTCCTTCCTAAGACCACTGCATTTTCTATCTCTGTGGTGCTCGCTGCCTCACCCCTGCTAGACCTTGAGCTCCAGGCTACTCCATTTGGCTTCTAAACAGGTTCATCTGCCCTGGGGATACATTAGGTTCTATTTTTTCTTTTTCTCCTCCTGCAGTACTGGAAATTGAACCCAGGGCCTTCACATGCTAGACAAGTGCTCTTCCACTGAACATAGGGTTTCTTTCAATTGAAAAGCAGGCACTGGAATCAGAAACATGTAGAAATGTGTTTCTGCATATGGTTATGCCACGTCTTCCCCATGTTACCTATACTCCACCAGCTCTCTTAGCCTTTCACAGCAATTCTCTTGCTTTTCTTGGGACCCTGGCAAAAATCTCTGTTCCTAAACAAGTTCATCTGCTCCGAAGATAAATTTGGGTATATAAAAAGCCACACCTTCTTTTTCTTTTTTTGGTACTGGGAATCAGACCCAGGCAGGGTCTTGTGCTAAAGCCATGCCTTCTTTAATCCTAAGATTCTGAGACTTCCAGTGGGTCTCTTGAATATTAGGGTGCAGTATCAGGTTTGACTCTATTCAAACCATGGACTTTCTTCAGCTACTAGGTATTGTCTGTTAAGCAACCATAGGCAACAGCTGATAAATATCTAGCAGGATAGTATCCTGAGAGTGCCCAGAATATCACTAGAGATGGTTAATCTCAATCCTGTAATTTCCCATAAACTGTAACTGCCCTTTTCATAGCCCTTTTCTTACTCTTATGTTCAGGGAACTCCTTGAGAGCTAAGGGAGGAGGAAGCAGTGAGATGAGAGAGTCACAGGTCCTCCCCAGACCAGGCCATAACCTGCCCCTTTCAGTTTTTCAGGTATTCCTTATGCTTAGGGACAGGTTAATGAATTCAACTGGTGAGAGGTCTGCTTCCTTCCCCACTTTCTTCTGTGGAAGTGTACAGTATTGGGTGGTCTCTTATCAGAAAGTCTCCCAGTCCTGCTCCTACCTACCAGCTGATAGCTGCTCTCCCTTTCCTCTTCTGTGATATCCTGAAAAGAGCATGGCTTTCGGAGTCAACCTTGTTTAATTTCAAATCTAGCACCACCACTTAAATGCCTTACGTAAACTGCATGCTTTCTCTCTACGCCTGGTGTCTCATTATAAAGCAAGCTAAGGCTTACTTCTTGGAGTGTTGAAAGTGAAATGAGGTAATGTTTAAAACTACTTAGCTTAGAGTAGATATTTAATAAAATGTTAGGTTTCCTCCTATTCTTTCCCACCCCACAGAGCAGAAGCCCTGGTTTCTGAAATTTACCAGGTACAGGAAATTTTGGGGTTTTGGCTAGCGTTTTCTGTGACTTCTGGCAATATTGATCCTCTTATTGAGCTTGGCACTGTTTGGTCTGCTACCCAACTCCCTTTATCCACTTACTTCTGGGTATCGAGTTTTGTGTTTGTATGACTTCCATGGCCCATAATCCCAGTTTTTGTCTTTCTCAGACTAAGAAATTCTTTCCCCAAGAAGGAATTTCTTTTCCAGAGATCAGAGAATGTGAAACCGAGGGAGAGGTGGAGCTGAAGGAATAGAAATGGGCAGGGCCATAAAATTGTGAAAACTCAAAAGAATTTCTCTCCATGTCCCTACTCTGGGGACAAAATGAGTTTGATTAGGTCAGAAGGCTGAGGATCACTGATGGATCTGAGAGGTACTGGGTGGTGGCTTGGGCGGGAAACCAGGAAGCACCAAAACTGGAAGGGGCACGGGATGGAAATACGGGATGTTGTGCTCCAGAGAAGGCCATGAGGTAACTCGGAGGAGAAAGGCTGTGGGGACGGTTGTGTCATAAGGGAGTGAAGTGGCTCACCTGGAAGATGGGAAGTGAAAAGCTGTAGGCGGCCTTGGCTCCCTCTGATTGCAGCCTTAGAAAGCCCCTAGCCTTTTCCCGGGTAGCCCCGGCGCGGCGGGGTGGGTGGGGCCGGGTGTGTGGGTGGAGCCCCGCCCTGCCTCCGCCTTCCCGGCGCGGTCCCGGGCTCCCGGCCCTCCTAGCTCGGCTCCTTTCCGCGCTCGTGCCAGAGGGCGGAGCTGGGCCCGCTCCATTGTGGAAAGGAGGGGAGGGGAGAGGCGAGGCGAGCCG